GACTAAAAGAATTATACTGGACTGGAAACAATTATTAAGAGTCTACATTTCAAGAAGAAAAAAATTTGAGTTTGGCTTTTCAAGAGTACAGAAATACTAATATTTAATAACTTTCATGCAAATGCTGTGTATGCATTTCTATCTTAGTCTGTGGTCATTAGCTGAAGAATGACTTTCTTTGAAGTGCAGTTTTAAATGTATCATGTTACTGAACAAATTTTAATTACGGTAACACTATGTAGCTGGGCAATGTGCTTTCCATATGTCTATATTGTATATTCTAAGAGTGTATATCCTATTAACTGTTAATACAGTTAATAATAAATAAATAATAGCTTTGAAGGAACAAGTAGATATTAAAGTCAATATGGACTGAAGTTGTCATAGGCTTGAATGAGCCCAGTATTTGTGATAATACAGAAAAATATCCTTAGAGTTGAAGAATATTTATGTTGAACAGCAGAATGGGTGGTTAGGATTTGAATAGGTAGAATATAAGTAGACTATGAAGGGCGTTAATGTCAAAGTCACTATTTTAGATGTACTCTAATAGGAATTATACAGATATACATGTAATATATATATATGTCATTGCATCTTCTTAATGAGAAAAATGAAGCTCTTCTAGGAATACTAATCTTATAATACTCTTAATGGTTAGGGAATACTTTCCTTTTTTGTAAAGATATATAACATTAAAATGAAATAATTCCTTAAAGTACTTAAAAATAGTAGTGACAGCCAGGTAAATATGATAAAGGTCATTCACAAAATGTTCCTTCACTGCTTTAAAAACAATAGAAAATTAGCAAAATTACTAACAGTAACCAAACAAATGTGAGAGGCCCCACTTAATGCAAACATTTTTTAAAGTAACAGTCACGAAAGTAAGTGCAGATTACAATCTGGCTAATATGTTCTAAACGCTGCACATGGATCTCCCAGACCTTGTAATGAGGGCAAAAGTTGATTCATTAAGATAATTTTTTTATTTTTAACTTATAAGCCGATTGAGGGGCTGAAATGAGGGTCAAGGAGAATCCTTCAAGTGTAGAAAATGTGTCAATTTCCTGTGGCATCTCATAGAGACAGAGAAAACTATCAGTGCCTGATTTTGTTTTAACACTCTAACTCGTAGAAAATAACCAGGAAAGGTACAATTCGTACTTAAAAAAAAATTATAATGCACATAAGTAAGTAGTAGTAAACCTGAGACCTCTTCCTTCTTCCAAATTACACCTTTATGTTCTGTAGAACTCAGTGAGAATCTGAATTCAAGAAGGTTAAAAATTCAAAACACAACATTGTAACAGACTAACAGTAATTGAATAGGGAACAAAATTAATATGAGAGCAGCACTATTATAGAACTATCTAGTCTCTTAGAGAAACAATATAAGAAGTCAGATAACTCAGGGAAAAGTTGAGATAATTGTACCATATTCCAATAAAAAAAATAAATGATAGCTAAAATAGACTGGGTGTTTAGATGATTAAGGCAGCCAATGTGTGGACAGTTTTCAGATATTAAGTAGAAAATCAAATTCTTCAGACAGCTATAAGAAAGTTTCTTTGAAGTAATTCTTTTTGACCTAAAGGGTGTATTTTCAGGAAAAGCTGAGAAATAACAGCTGGGAATAAAACTTACTGTGCTTGATTTGGAAATGCTCCATGAAGAATAATTGAGGAAGACATAGATGCAAAATCCATAAATAAGCAAAACTTAGGATAGTCTGACCTCTTACATGTCTACAATATTCACCCCAAATATAATGAAGCATTATCTACAAGCATTGGAGATAATGAAGGTGAAATCCAAGAGTATCACCACCAGCCACATTTTCCTCTGGTGATAAGACTAAAAGAAAAAACCTCAAATGTAACAACTGTGAGTACTTGGAAGGGTGGTTGACGGATGGAGAAAAAACTGCCTGACATTGAAATCTAAGAAAATGAATGGTGAATGGCTGAATGACAAATGAAGTATAAGAAGCAGAAGGAAGGCTGGGCGCAGTGGCTCACGCCTGTAATCCCAGTACTTTGGGGGGCTGAGGCGGCTGGATCAGGAGGTCAGGAGTTTAAGACCAGCCTGACCAATATGATGAAACCCTGTTTCTACTAAAAATATAAAAATATATCCAGGTATGATGGTGCAGGCCTCTATTCCCATCTACTCGGGAGGCTGAGGCAGAATCGCTTGAACAGGGAGGCAGAGGTTGTCGTGAGCCAAGATTGTGCCATTGCATTCCAGCCTGGGCAACACAGTGAGGCTCCATCTCAAGAAAAAAAAAAAGGCAAACAAGTAATATTTAAAGATAGTGGCACAGTGATTGCAAATCTGTGAGGGAAAGTATAAACCAAATTTTTATTTCTAGATAAACTATTCTTAAAGAAGCAAAAACTCAAGGAATGTAAAAATGTTAAGGCTTTCGTAAAAAAAAAAAAAAAAAAAAACTCCAAAACAAGCAAGTACTTGCACATAGTTATCTAATAATACAATGAATTAAGAAGAAAAATTTAGAATTGGGGATATTCTGTTAACTCACTTTCCTTGAAGATGGATAGATTATGTCTAAATTATGTCCATTATGGCCACAAAATAGAGTAAGAATCTAATAAACCTTTTAGATTTAAAACCACACGATAGACCAGACCTCAGCTGTGGGCAGAACTTAAAAGTGTGCTATCTCCTCTTACAGAAGGAAGTCAGTGAATACTGACTTAGAAAGGTGTCATTAAGAGGGCAGTGTCTTTATCCTGCCCATAGCATCTTTTCTTAACCTTTAGAAAGTAAACTTCCTGGAAATGAATTATCTGAAGTTTAGCAATTCTTTTGGTTTTACGACATTTGGTTTTCATTCGCTAAAATTACATAACTTAAAATGACATGCATATTATTCCATTTTAATAGAACATTCATACTTTTAGTCTTTCCCTACATTTGTCTTTCCTCCTTACTACATATATTATTGGTAGAGAATTGTTGAAATGATACTTAACTTTCAGAGTTATTACCTCTATGTAGTATTTTTTGATGAGTTTTTAAAGAACTTTCCCACATTGTTCATTTTAAGAACATACACTATTTTCTTGACACAGGATGTTTTTCTTTTAAAAGAACTGGTGGCATAGTTTTGTAATTTTTTTTTTTTTACAACTAAGTATTTGCTAATGGTAAAAACATAAATGTTTCTACCCTCAAAGATCTCAAACTCTGTCCTAAAGAAATTTAACACTTTAATACTAAAAAAACGGAATCAGAATCTCTCTTATGTTCTCATTCTCTATATGCAGAAGGAAATTTTAAAGTAGGATTTTTTTTTTCCGAATTCAGAATTCAGTTGTCCATCTTTGTTGAATTTAAGATCTGATGATACGGTTGCCTTATTTCATATCTGTCAAGTCAGAAATACCCTACTTTCATGCAAGTAACTCAACCTGACACAGTATCATAGAAGTTGGTGGAAGACCTGAGACTACAGGGTCAGAGAAAAGACCATTTATTACAACTATAGCAGTAGCAAGAACAAAAATGTAACACTCGTTTTTTTTTCGGAATTCCAATTTCCATGGAGAAATACAAATAGGGTTAGTTGTTGCTAGGCAGTGGGGTTCTTTAAAAAGAAGCTTGATAGTAGAAAACCCTGGCCTTATATAGGCAAACCAGCCCATCTGCTCCTTAATAGAGAAGTATTGCTCTGAAATGCCATGTAAGCCTAATCCAGGGAGAATGATGTTCCCATCTTAGTGGAAAATCTGTTTTAGGAGGAAATATCTCTATGTTTGCAATTTGTGCAAACATCCTTGCAAAGAAAGCATCGAACAAGTTAGCTGTTAATGCCTTAGAAAATGTTTGAATATATGAGAGACTTTTGAAAAATTGTCCCCCTGTAATATCTAGATGTTACCCCTTGATCAAACTTATTATTGCAGAATGGATACTAGTTTCTTTTTTATTGTAATATTAACATATTGTTGACGACTATGGCCTTTTGGCTTTTTTATTAATGTTTGAACCTTTTGCTCAATAAAAATTTTAAACTGAACTAAAATTTTTAAAATTTAGTAGCTAATTTTGAGAGCAAAGCTAAGACCTTGAAACCTTTATTTCTCTGATTCTCCAGTATTTTGTCAAAATCATAGCAAATTAAGCTACTAAGTAGATAATGTACAGAGTTACAGAGTTTGATGTTCAACTGAGGAACAGCATTGTATTATTTTTAGAACTATAAAATGTAAAGCATTCTAAATGTAATACCAGTACGAATCAGTGAAATGTGATTTCCTATGGAATTAATATAGCAAGGATATCACAGATTCCTTGTCTAGAAATCCTTAAGTTTTTGTTCATATTATTATAATAGAAAAATCCTGAAACAAGCTAATTAGAATATTAAGTTATATGGAATAAAAATCTTTTAAGGAAAGTTTGTGTAACATGTATGCTTTTCTAAATCTAATCTGGGACTACTTGTAGTAGTGAGCTCTGACAGTTTTTTTTAAGGATAGTCTATGCAGTTTAAGTCTTCTCTCACTTATACTGTTGTGATGATTTCTTACTCCTTCCCCACTTCTGGTCATTTCAGGTTTAGTGAAGTCTATTCCTTGAATTAAAACTGTTAGTTAATATGCCTCTGGGTGCCTGTAATTATCCCTGCAACCTTTCCCTTTTAGTCCTTTAACATGTTCTTCAATATTTATTTGTACAAGATAAACCAGACTACTAGCGTGTTCCAGAATATAATCTGTGTGTGTCTACATTTTTTTTCCTATCTGAAACAATTTTCTGTACCCTCGTTAGCTAAAACATACATTATTCATAGTCTAGTTCAAATGACTTCTCGATAACCTGATGAACTTCAGCTTGTATTACTTTTTTAAAAATTTATAATCCTTGGCTTTATGTGCCTCTCCTCTAGCAATTATGTGCTTCTTTGTAACAAAGATGTTTATGTTTGGTCTTTCTAATTTGTGAATTCATTTCTGTTTTTTTCCTACTAGCATGTAAAAGTCGCATCTGAGGCTCTGTGTCATGCTGGCAGAGATCTTCAGCAAATCATCCTAGATCAGTGCTACAATTTTGTTTGTGTGAATGTAAGTCAATTCGAGTGATTCGAAGCACTTGAGGATATGAGCAAATGTAATGTGGAAGAGAACTAATTTGATTCTTAAATATTTATATATGAGATTTTGATGAGTTGTCTTACATGTTTTTGGAGATTTTTATCTTTGAAAGAGGAATAATACTTTTAACAAGCTAAATCCCATAATGAGAACAGTGATACTTTGGACAATATTGTCAGTTTTCTGTTTTGTATCTGATCTAAAGTAGATAATAAGGAAGACAAAGGTTTGACTTAATTGGTAGATGAAATTTTGACATGCATAACTTTATGGGTATCCTTTAAAATTATTTATAAACTGAAAACTAAGCTTGATAAATATTTTGAATGTTATGCAGAATCTCTTCATTTTTTTCCTTGAATTAACTTTTAAGTCATTTAAAAATGTCTTCTGATATCCTTTTAATTTTCTGGTCTTTCAGGTTATGACTTCTGACTTTCAAGAAACCCAGAAGTTACTGAGTATGCTTGAAGAAAGTAATCTTTCCATTTTATATCCTGTTGTTGTTGTTTCAGTAAGTGAAATTAATGCAGATTTTCTGAAATTTATGCTTCCTTCTTTGTAACTAATGTATGTATTTTTAAAAACTTGATCCAATTGAGAGCATTAACTGAAACTCAAAAGAAACTCTTCTTTGTGGATTCCTCTGCTTACTCTCTTGCTATGACTTCTATGACTGAATGCCTTTATTATTGCAATCATTTGGTTGAATTGACAGGTTTGGAAATCTTTTTCAACCCAGCAGCCAGTTTCTTTTTTTTTTTTTCTGCACAAAAAATGGCAAAGTATTCAGCTTAAGTCAACTGGTTGTTTGGATAGTATAAAATAGTTTTATTTAACATATTATCAGAATACTATTAGGGAAGCATTCCAGTTGTTAATGTGAGGAAAAAAACCTAGTAGAAGAAAACTGGTTCTTGGGTTGTTTCATTTTCTGTGTTCCACTGAAAGCAAAAGTAGAACAAACAGCAAATAAAAAAGAATTCCTAGAAGAATGTCCTAGGAAAATTTTGGAGAGATTTTTCCATGAAAATCTAAAAGTATATGTTTAGTGCAGAATTTATTTGATTAGCATGTTAAACTATATAGCAGAGGGAACTATCAGAGAGTAAAGTTGGGAAGGAACAGAATCAGAGCCCAAAGCCCTCTAAATTGGCTGAGGAGCAGAATCTATAGTTAGTAGCATTTCCCTGTGTGAAGGGGTTTCAGACATGAAATTCTCTGAAAAGCTTAGCAACTGCCAAGTTTCTAAAGCTCAGGCCCATCCCATTGTGTGGGAATGTAACTCTTTTCAGGTAAGGTTAATAATAATGAGATAATTTGGAATATAAATAACTTGACTGAGTAATGCAACTAGTAACAAGTTAGCATCTCCAACAAACTGGGAGATATTATTAATTCAGTGGCCTCTTTATTTGGTCATATACCATAAAGGTAACTTTCATAGTTGCATGTGTTTATTGAAACCCAAGGTTCTTATGTAATTGATCTTCATACAACACAGATGCTTCCGTTGAGCTTTTTAGGAACAATATGGAATATATCCATTGTTGGAAGCCTTTGAGGCTCTGTAGGATAGAGGTAAGTTCAGAGTTCTGTGTTTGGCCTTTTATTCCTCTCTCCACATTTACTCGCTTAGAGATCTCATTTTTCCATGTTCCCAGATATGCTGATGAGGCCATCCAGTGTAGTGAATTAAAAGTCTATATGCTAAAATATTGTAAAATGTTTATTTTATATTGGGACATTATCCTTTTATAATACTTGAATGCAGGCATACTTCAGTTTCTTGCACTCTGAAGATACATGTTTTACAAATTGAAGTTTTGTGGCAAGCCTGTGTCTAGCAAGTGTATTGGTACATTTTTCCAACAGTGTATGCTCAGCTCATGTCTCTATCACATCTTGGTAATTCTCACAATATTTTTAAATTTTTCATCATTACAGTCTCTGCTGTGGTCGTCTATGATCAGTGATCTTTGATATTACTATTACTGTGTTGGAGCACTGCAAATCACATCTGTATAAGATGGCAGGCTTAACTGATAAATGTGTATATTCTGATTGCTCTTCTGACTAGCTGTTTCCTTATCTCTCTCTCCTTACCTTTGATACTCACTATTTGCTGAAACACAATAATATTGAAATCAGGTCAATTAATAACCCTACAATGACCCCTACATGTTGAAGTGAAAGGAATAGTCCTGTGTCCGTCACTTTCAGTCAAAAGCTACAAGGCCTACAGAGCAAGGCCTAATTCCCTTCAATTCTGTGAAGACTGTGGAAAGTGAAGAAGTTCCAGAAGAGTTTGAAGCTAGCAGAAGCTTATTCATGTGGTTTAAAGAAAGAATTGTCTTTATAACAGAAAAACGGAAGATGAAACGGCAAGTGCTGATGTTGAGGCTGCACCACATTATCCAGAAGAGCTAGCTGAGATAATTGATGAACATAGCAATGCTAAATGACAGATTTTTCTTTCTTTTTTTTTTTTAAGTCTTCCAACAGTTTATTAGAAAGAATGTAGACTTTTAAAAAAATCCCCACTGTCATGAACATAAATTGAGGTTTTCAGCCCTTGTATAAGCTGAATAAAAAAAAAGAAATAAAAAATCCAATAGTGTATTAAACATTTTTCACTCATTTGCCATACTGACAGTGCAAATACAAATCTGGTCTAAATGTACAGACTTTCAAGCAACAATGTACAGCTTTCTTCGTCCTCCATGCTAAGAGATGTAAAAGCTTAAGGGTCAAACAATACCAAATGTATGGGCTTCAAAAACCATCTAAGTTAGGGCATTCTGTAGTTTTAGCTAAGATACACCTGGAACATTGACCAGTGATCACTTACATAGAATAATGTGAAGTACATTTTTTTTTTTTTTGAAAAATAAACTTTAGTGGAACAATCCTGAAGGGTAACACTAGAGGAACAGCAGGTTACCACCAGTAAGGTGTCAGCCAATTTGTTCCAGCCACTTTTGAATCCATGTTCTATACTCTAGTTTTCTTTCCCTAAGCTTCCTATCATGTCAGTATCTATGTTATGAGGAAAAGGAGACTTAGGCGAAATGTTTTTATCATAACTGCTGCATCAATTGCCTAGGACCTCAAAGCTTCATGAAAGTCTGGGAAATGTTCATGCATAAGGTTATTGCCTTAGCTGACTTAAAATTGCCCCAAACAATGGTACATATGAACCCTTAGTGAAGCCTTTTAAAAAACAAACAGGTTGAAAAATGGGTTAAAGTAGGCAAATACAGCATCTGCTTTTAGAGCTATCAACTCAGCAATTCTCTCAATTATGAAATCTTGCAGAGAAGTTATTTCTCAAAATCCAGGTGATGACAATATTCCTTACTCCAGATCTGGCATTTTTTCATCATCACTGTCTTGTGAATCATCATCTGCTCCATCTACTTCTGGTAAATCTACATCCTCATCACCACCCATGTTGTTCATCATCTCAGAAAAACGATCAAAATTAGACATGTCTTCATCTGAATCGTCTTCCCAGTCTTTCCAATTATTGAAGTCCACACTAAGCCAATTAAGCTTTGCCCTTTCTTTTGTTAACCTTGGCCATGACTGGCCAGATTCTCCTTTTCGTAAACAACATAAAATTGATCTGTCCGTTATTTTATGCTTGGAATCATTTGGATCAATACAGTGAAAAATATAAATTTCATTTAAATGCTTAAAATTATCACTTCCTCCAAGACAACTGAATGTAAGTTTGGATTTTTCAAAATTTACATTAACATCCTTACTGTCTTCAACACAAAATTCAATGAAGATATAGTCCCTTCGATCGTACCACTTTGCAGAAGCAGGCTGCATTGTGAACGGGGCAGGGGGACGGGCGAACGGGTGGGGGGGCCTCTCTGGCGGCGGCTGCTGCTAAGAAGTCGACTTCTCTCCGGTGGCGACTCCGCGTTTTGTCCCCGGTCGCGGCCTCTTCTCGCTTCCCTCAGGCGACGGCGGTAGCAGCGGGCTCGACCTAGCTCCCCAGAATGCACCGCGTGGAAAAAAAGCAATGACAGATTTTTCAATGTAGATGAGGCACTTCTACTGGAAGATCATGCCAGTATGGGGGCTTTTATGGACAGAGAGGAGAAGTCAATGCCTGGCTTCAAATAATACACTGACACTTCTTAGGAGCTAATGCAGCTAGTGACTTTAAGTTGAAGGCAGTTGCTCACTGACCATTCTCAAAATCCTAGGACCCTTAAGAATTATGCTAATTCTATTCTCTGTCTGTGCGCTGTAAATAGAACAAAACCCGAATGACAGTACATCTGTTTACAGCATGGTTTACTGAATATTTTAAGACCACTTTTGAGACTTAATGCTCAAAAACAAAGATTCCTTCAAAATACTTTTCAAAAAAACTGCTTATTGGTAATGTACCTAGTTACCCAAGATCTCTGATGGAGATGTATAAGAAGATGAATGTTGTTTTTGTCTGCTAACACAACATTTATTCATCAGCTCATAAATCAAGGAGTCATTTAGATTTTCACTTCTCATTTTTGAAGAAATACCTGGTGTAAGGCTATCACTGTCCTAGATAGATTCCTGTGATGGATCTGTGCAAAGTAAATTGAAAACCTTCTGGAAAGGATTCACCCTGCTAGTTGCCATTAGGTACATTCATGATTCATAGGGGGTCTAATGTTAACAGGAGTTTTGAAGACTTGATTCCAACCCTCATGGAAGACTTGGAGGCATGTGACTTCACCGGAGGAAGTAACTGCTGATGTGGTAGCAATAGCAAGAGAATAGAAGTGGAGTCTGAAGATAGACTGAATTGTTCTAATCTCATAAAACGTAGATGGATAAGGAGTTGCTTCTTATAGATGAACAAAGAGAAAGTGGTTTCTTGAGATGGAATCTAATAAACGTTTAAATGACAATAAAGCATTTAGAATATTATATAAACTTAGTTGATAAAGCAGTGGCAGAGTTTGAGAAGATTATGTCCAATTTTGAAAGCAGTTCTGTTGTGGGTCAAATGCTATCAAACAGCATCGCATACTGCAGAGAAATTTTTGTGAAAAGAAGGATCACTCTAGGCGTTGAATATGTTGTTGTCTTATTTTAAGAAATTGCTATATCCAACCAACCTTTGGCTACCACCACCCTGAACAGTCAGCAGGAGGAAGATTAGAATTCATTGAAGGATTAGATGGTAATTAGGATTTTTAGCAATATACCATTTTAATTTAAGATATGTACATTTTTTAGTTATGTTACTGTACACTTAATGAACAATAGTATAATGTAAATATGACTTTTTGTGCCACTAGAAATAAAAAATTTCATGTGACTCACTTTATTGAGAAATTTGCCTTACTAGCTTCAGCAGCCTGGAGCCAAACTCCCAATATTTTTGAGGTATGCCTGTTACTTTCCCATTGCATAGGCAGACTTAGCGTGATGTTATTATTATGAGCATTATTAATTTAATAGAAAAAAGTGCAACTAGTTTATATCTAGAATCTGTATCCATAGCATGGAGCAAATAATTAGAAAGGGTATTGTAAGTAATGCTGGCATCTTGGATGGAGAGGTGAGTGAATAATGTCTGAGTATTTAAATTGTCCTGTCAATGACTGTGAATATGACTGATCAGGCTTCATCGTTTTTTCTTCTGATACCACTTTCACCAAAAATGGCCAGAAAGCAATTTCAGTTTTCCTATTAATGAAAATCGGGCAGAACATTTCAAATGCATACCAACTTAATAGATGCATGAAAAATATGATAATTATAAAATAAAAGACATAAATCTAGATGCATCACAGTTTACTCAGTAAGAGGAAAAACTATTAATACACATACATACATAGTGTTTGCATGTGCAAATTCATATGCAGATATGTATACACATGTTTGTAATTGGAAAATTACATACCAGGCACTTCAGAGGCTATAGCATTCTCTTTCATTCTGTCTGAATTAACTTTTTTGGAAGATTAAATCAAGAAAGATGTCTTAGCACAAGCTTTTTATTTTTATTTTTTTATAAATAAGACTTTTGTTAACTTTAAATTATGAAAAGAACTTTCAAAAGGAGTGTGATCGCTTGCTTCCCTAAACAAGTAGCTTTTATTCATCAGAAAATACATTACAAAATGACATCAAAGTCATAGAAAAATATGTCCATTTTGATTTTTGAGTTATGTGATTCCACAGATATTGCATGCATGCATTGTAAATGTTTAAAGGCCTGTTTTGTCTTGGGTGAGATGTACAGTGGTTTACAGTGGTTCTTTTTCTTATGCAAGGGTCGTCAACTTCCAATTTCAGTCCATCTGAAGAGTGGAAGGCTTAGCAGGAATGAGTCACATGCAAAGTAAAATTGTGGTTATTGGCCATTTATGAGGTTTTCCAATAGACTAGTTAAGGTTGTTACTTTGCAATGTCACCACATTTTACTCTACAAGAACAGATATTTAATGAAAAATGAGGCTGAATGTCAACTTAGGTGGGCATTTGGCAAAAACAACATTGGGTTAGGTTTAAGTGGTAGAAATTTGTTTCATGCCACAATACTGATGAAACCTCCAGTGTCCCTTACATTCTCAAGTGTATAAAAATACTTTGGAGTTCCCTGTTATGTCATTCAGTAGATATTCTAAAGGGACTTGTAACTTTGAACCTCGTCCATGTTATTTTTCTTGGAAGAAGTTAAGGAGTGAATGAATGGTTAATGGTGCTTGGTTCTTGGTATGTTGGTATCTAGCATAATTACATTTTATTTTAGATTTTGCAGAGGTCTTGACTATCTTGAAGATCAATTTTTTGGCTCTTATGAAAAGTGAAATGGGCTAGAAATTAATGTGGGAAGTTTTTGTTAAGCTAAGATAAACTGACACAAGTAAGAGGCTACTATTCTAAGATCCACTTTTAGAAGGAAACAACTTTCACCAAGAAGAACAGAAAAAAAAATGACTTTGTTTTAAAAAGAACTAAGATATTTATTAAAATAGTCATATTCTTAAAAATTCTTTAGGGTATGTTTGCAAAGTTAAGCTTTTTTAAGTCTTGTGGACATATAAATCATATGTTGTGATATGCTTCATTCGAAGTGGTTATTATCTGACTGAGACAGGATCTCACTCTATTACTTAGGCTGGAGTACAGTGGTATGATCATAACTCAATGCATCCTCTGTCTCACAGGCTCAAGTGATCCTCCTTCCTTGTCTCCCAAGTAGCTGGGAGTACAGGTACGCACCACCATTCCTGGCTAATTTTTTAAATTTTTAGTAGAATGACGTCTTGCTATGCTGCCCAGACTGGTCTTGAACTCCTGAGCGCAAGCACTCTTTCCACCTTGGCCTCCCAAAGTGTTACCATTACAGATGTGGCCACATCGCCCAGCCTTTGGGTGGTTATTTCTGTAAAAATATTTTTGGGGTACTTGTACATTTCCAAAAATATTGATTATTTATCCTCTGATATTAGAAATATTTTTTGAGCATCTCTTTGGTCATCACTCTCATTTATTTTTATATGTTTTAAGTAGTCTTCTTTCAGGAAGTTCTCATTTTTATAGTATTTAGCATGATTTAAGGACTCTGCTAGTATTTGACCACCTTAATAAAATATTTATGTTTTGGTAGATGTAACTTTATTTTGTAATTATATTGAACTATCAGAATTCTACACATTTTTACCATCATCTAGTCTATTAGCCTGTTTTCACACTGCTATAAAGGTAATACCCTAGAGAGGGCAACCTATAAACAAAGGAGGTTTAATTCTAATTCAGTTCTGCATGGCTGGTAAGTCTTCAGGAAACTTAAAATCATGGTGGAAGGGGAAGCAGGCACCTTCTTCCAAAGGTGACAGGTGAGAGAAGAATGACGGAGGAACTTCTAAACACTCATAAAACCATTATATCTCATGAGAGCTCACTGTCATGAGAACAGCACGGGGCAAACCACCCCCATGATCCAATCCCCTCCCTCCCTTGACATATGAGGCTTACAGGTCCCTTCTTCGACGTATAGGAATTACAATTCATGGTGAGATTTGGGTGGGGACAGAAAGCCAAACCACACTCTTTAGAGACTGGTAATATTGATCACTTGAGGTAAAATAGATTTCAGTGTTAGGTGGCCTGAAATTGTTGGGTGGGTCATATTATAAATGTTCTGTTCTTAATGAATCTGTGTATGTTAGTATGACATTTATGATTCTATGAAATCTTTTAACTGTGAGCTTTTAGAAATGCATAGCCTGATAACAAACACACCTTATACTAGGAGAATATTCTGTACTTAGGTGAAAATATTATTTTTTATTAGAGACTGGTCAGCATAAAGGATTTTGCAAGTTTAGATCCTTTATGTCTTAACAAGAAAAATCTAATGCCTCAAACCACACTTTCTTTTGTAAAAATAAAATTGGATCAGATTATGTTTGAAACTTTTTTTTATATGTGATTTCTCTAAATGCTTAGTTTATACTCTATTGTCAAGGAGCTTAGTTTTTGCCCTGATTTGACTGGAGTGATTGTTAGCCCTCTGTTCCTTGCATTTATGGGTATGTGCAGTATTGCTACCACCTCTGTCAGATTATATCTCTGAAAAGTTTGTTTGGGACCTGTCACACAAGATGTGAACACGGGACATAGCCAGTTCTCTGTTTTCTACTCTACGTGTTTTTGTTTATTAAGTACTGATGAAAAAATGCCTAGAGAAGTGAAGCAATATAGTAAATGTATTGAAATACTAAAAAGATAAATTCATAAAATTTCTTATGTAAAAATCACTTTAAAAAAGTAGATTTTTATAAACATTTAACAAGATTTGTATGTAGTAAGAATCTTAACTGTAAGTTGAATTCCTTGGTTTTAAGCTAGTGATCAGAGAGCTGTATTTAACCAGTGATGGAGAAAGGAGATTTCAAGAGACAAAACTAACTGTATGTGTTTTTTTTTAGCAGTATTATGTAAAACCAACTGTAAAACCACAAAAAATACCTTCCTGCATCCTAAAAGGACAATAGGGCTACTCATA